CTGTTACTGTTCTAGAGTCAAAGCAAGCATTGTTTGGCCTGGTGACTGCAGTGGGATTATTCTCAGGAGCAAGGGCTGCAGCCTGGAACCCTGGAGATCAGCTACCAGAATCCTGTTTGTGGTCACTGATTCTAGCAGTGATGTTTTTCTAACATGAGAGAGATGGTGGTTGCTGGGGCTGTGCCTGGGTACAAGTGGAGCCTTGTTCTCTTTGTGAATGCTGCACAGTTTTTCTAATGAGAACTTGTTTTCCTCAACATTTCCTTCTAAGTCTCAGGGTTTTTTTAAGGCTAGAGAGACTATTATGTTGTCTAGCCTGACAGAACAAGATGTAAAATATTACTGAGCACAATAAATCCTGTTTAAAGTTCACCTTCATGGAACACATCTGATCTTGACTGAAACATCATGAGTCAGAATTTCTCTGGGTAGAGAATTCCTCCACGTGTCACCAATGCTCTCTCATTAGAAGCAGTACATTAATTATTTATTAACTAGCCCAGTCACAAATTTCTAATAATTATTATTGTTCCTTGATGTGTGATTTACTTACCTGTCTTCTTCTCTTTGGCTGAACGCAGAGAATAGCCAGGATGGGAGTTTAAAAGGAAGCCAGCTGGGGTTTGAGGCCATGGCAAGGAGCAGTGCAGTGTTCCCATATTTAGCCTATTTTCTCTAGTCTCTGTGTGGTTCACATTTTGGGGTGAATTGGTGCAGTTTGCTGGTTTTTGCTTGGTGAATTAAGGAAGCATTAGTGCAGACAAGGCTCTTTTCCCCAGAGAGTCTGCACACCTCAGCACTGGGAGAGGGCAGCTCCTTGTGGGAATTGTTTGGGATAAAGGCAGGTGTGAGGTGGAGCAGCAATAACTCTCAGCTGTGTTCAGAACTGTGCGGAACAAACCAAAATAAAGTAAATCCCCAAATAAACCAAAATACTGTTAAGTGCATCTCAGGATCCTGAGCTCTATATGTTATTAATAACATATGTTATATGTTATTATTGTTGTTATTATTATTGTTACTATCTGAAATTAGCCCAAAGTGGAAGCTAGCAAATTCACCTTGTAATGTGTTCTTTGGTGAGTTTTTAAAGGAGCCTGCTGTCCTTGTGTTTCAATATTATCTTTGTTTTCTGACAATCTCCCGTTGGATGCAAGCAAGGGGCGCTTAGAAGCCTTTGCTGAAGTTTGGATGTACAAATTACCCTGTCCCTTTGAAATGTTTGACTAACAGTCTTAGAAGGAAACTCAGACAAAAATAAAATCTGGCATTTCAAATATGTAAATAAAGAACTTTCTTTGGTAGAATATCTAGTAAGCATTGCTACCAATCACTAATGAGTGCAGCTTTAATTCTAATTTCTGTAGCTTTTATCTATGTTGCCAGTAATTATAAAAACCTGTCTCACAGTAGGATGTACATCAAATGTTTGTTTTCAGTGAATTCTTTTTTCCTTTCCAACTGAAAAACCACCTGAGCAGATTCAAAATTAGGCAGAATTGCAAAATTATTTTTGCCTTAATCTAAGTTTTCATGCCTTATGTAAGTATAAATTTGAGATAAAGAAAAATGAAATTCATGTATTCCGAGTGAGTTTCATTTTATACCATTCCCTCCTCCCACCCCTGATTATGCAAAAAAAAAAAAAAAAAACAACCAAAAAAAACAAAGAGCAAGGCCATTCATGTGTATATTTTTAATGATGGGTCTTGGAATGACAAAGAAATTGAGAAATTGAAGTGGTGGATCAGTCAACAGTTCAGACACTTGGGGGCTGTGATTTGTAAATTCATCACAGTGATATCTTCACTGAAAAAACACTTTATCAGAAACAAATTTATTGCAGTCACTGATTCAGTTCCCCCTACCACCTGTCTGTCTCTATGGGTTTTTTTTTGTGAACAGCTCTTAATCTCCACTGTTCACTAATAAAAATATTTTAATAAGAGATAATGCTGTAATCCAAATGCCTATAGGTGCTTGAATCAACTATTCCTGCCTGTGTAATTGCTAGCACTTTGTTCAACCCTTTTGAAAATTGCTATTAAATCTCATTCTCCTTTTCTGTATTAATGGAACAAGAATTCATTTTGAGTGTAGCCTCGGAGCAGTAATGAGCATTGTTAACATGGAACAACAATGCCCAAGGGGAAAGTTTCCAGAGCTGGCCTCACCTCAGGGCTTTGCTGTTGGTGTGCTGCAGAGTCATCCAGCCAAGAGTTCTTGGTCCGTTCACAGAGTTCAGCTGAATGTTTCCGCTCGATATATTGGGAGAATTATAAATGGTTTAGGTGGTGGCCAAGGGAGAAAGGGTTTCTTTTGTTTAATACCTTAAAAATAGAGGGGCAGCATTAAAAAATTAACAATAACTCCTACTTATTTTAAAGTGCATCATATTATGCTTTTGTTCTGATGATTTTGCTTCCTTGCAGATTTTCACAAGAGGTTAATGAGAAAAGATTAACAAAACATGCAATATTGCACATGGGCAGGGGAGACAAAACATAATCATTTTGTTATAAACAAACAATAGATGTTACTTTTTAATTGCTTTTTCAGAAGCCCAATTCTGCCTTCTTGAAGAAGCATTATATATCTTTTTAAATTCAGAATATTACCCTTATTTATTATGTATAGCAAAAATGAACCTGCCCAAAGTGTGGTGCTTCACTGATTGCAAGGGAATGCCTTGGCCACAATAAAGCAGTCAAGGCCCTATAGATAAGAAGTCCTATAGAAAAAAAGTCCTTATACCCTACAGAGAGTAAAAATTAAGAGGCTCAAACCCAGTGTATTACCAGTGTGATAGAGAATAACATTGTTTTCCTTGCATTTTCTGAGGTCTTGGTTTCATGACTGTGTAGGATGTAAGGACTTCTTATCTCTAGGGTCTTGACTGCTTTATTGTGGCCAAGGCATTCCCTTGTAATCAGTGAAGCACCACAGCTTTAAGTAGGTTTATTTTTGCTATACATAATAAATAAGGGTAATATTTTGAATTTAAAAAGTACATAACACTTCTTTGGGAAGACAGAATTGGGCTTCTGAAAAAGCAATTAAAAAGTAACATCTATTGTTTGTTTATAACAAAATGATTATGTTTTGTCTCCCCTGCCCATGTGCAATATTGCATGTTTTCAGATGTATTTTAGGTGATAGTTTAATATTTCTGCAGAGATTTATTGATTGTTCCAAAATCCGATGCCATTAGAGAAGCAGGGGTAGAAATATTCTTTTGTTGGAGTTCAGTTTGTCCATTAAATGAATTACAAATTATTGTCATTTAGCCATCTTGTTTCATAGCGCTTGGTCACCACTGCCCTTTCCTTGGGTACAGGCTGGAGATGCCCTGAAACTTTAAATATGAATAGACAAGTTCAACAATGCAAAAGCTCAAAAACAGTAAGACTTTAAGAAATGTGCTGCCTGTTGTGTATTTCTTTCCATTTTTTGTAATAGGAGCAATCTTCCTGGTTAAATAGGTTTCAGACCCTTGCAATTTCATAAACACATATTTTTCCTTTGAGAGCTGGGCCTGATACTGCTTTTTCTGTAGAATAGTTGGTTTGTGTTGCAGACAGAGACTTTTAAGAGAGGACTCTAACAAGGGACCTTTTATAAAACTTTATTGAATGTTTGGTTTTAATTCTCAAAATAAATCAGATTGAGGTGAGATGTTGAATCTGATAACAGGAGGACAGAAGGTTTTAAAAAGCATGAATGAAGGCTTTATAGATTTTGTTTCACCCCTCCTTGCAGGTTACTCCACACCATACTGTGTGCTTCATTCTCTTCAGGTATGTCCATCCCTGAAGTGAGAGTAAAGCATACATTTGAAATTTCACATACTCCATATTTTCACCTGAAAATAAGGTTTTCTTCTAGGCTGTTGCATGGAAAAATTCCTTCCTAGTATTTATTTCATCTTTGCATCTATCTAAGGTTTCTTAGATTTAACTGGGGCTTCTAATAATTAATTGACAGCACTTTATTCACATATCAATATATCTGTATATTTATATTGACTCTAGTGGTTCCCCACAACTCAACTGAGAGTGGACTCCTGCAGTAATTACTAAATACAATTTTGGCATTCCCTGTCCCAGACACCTTACAGCCTGGGGGAAAACAGGGAAAACACAGCAAGTAAAATAAAGAAACAGGGAAAACACAGCAAGTAAAATAAAGAAACATGAAATGGAAGCCCAGAACCATCACACCCAGCAGCTTCCCGGGGCCTGGTGCAGTTGCTGGTGGGAATGCTGGTGTGCCTGGGCTGTCTCAGGAAAGGAAGGATGGCCCAGCAGCTCAGGCAATGGGGATCAGCTTCTGTGCCTGCCCTGAGTCCCTGGGCACACAGGGGAGCTGGGACACTTCTCACAGTGATGCCTCTCTTCATCCCTGGAGGAATGAGTCACAAAAGTGAGGATGACAATTGATGTCTGTGTTCACAGGGGTCTCAGGATGAGGGAAGAGACCAGGATCTGACTCCGTGTTTCAGAAGGCTGATTTATTATTTTATGATATCTATTACATTAAAACTATACTAAAAGAATAGAAGAAAGGATTTCATCAGAAGGCCAGCTAAGAATAGAATAGGAAAGAACGATAACAAAGGTTTGTGGCTCAGACTGTGTGTCCGAGCCAGCTGGGCTGTGATTGGCCATTGATTAGAAACAACCACGTGAGCCCAATCCCAGATGCACCTGTTGCATTCCACAGCAGCAGATAATCAATGTTTACATTTTGTTTCTGAGGCCTCTCAGCTTCTCAGGAAGAAAAATCCTAAGGAAAGGATTTTTCATAGAAGATGTCTGTGACACTTGTCTTCAGACACACAACTGCTAAATGAAAAATGCCTGTTGGAGGGAAAACCCTTTCTCTGCCGTGGGAGAAGTTTTGGGAATATGCTTTATTTATTTATTTATGTATTTATTGCTGGTTTCTGTGCTGTGTTGCTCCCCAGCCCATGTTTTCTCCTCTCTGTTTCTGTCTCCCAGCAGTTGTATGCTGCCCAGCTCGCTGCCATGCAGGTGTCTCCAGGAGGCAAGATCCCTGGCATTGCCCAGGGGAGCCTTGGTGCTGCCGTGTCCCCCACCAGCATCCACACAGACAAGAGCACAACCAGCCCTCCTCCCAAGAGCAAGGTACTGTACCCAACCAGGGCCTCTGGGCTGCAGGAGCTGTGGCAGGGTGTCCCCCTGGAATGGGAGGACATTGATGAAACATCTGGGAAGAATTCAGCTAAGGAACAGGGACAAAGCAGTCCTTTGTGGGTGACAGCAAGAGCTGGGTAAAAAATGTGTCCTTCTTTTTTGTTAGTGCCCTCCAGCATGCTGTCCATGTCCTTCATCATGTCAGGAGAGATTCCTTGAGTTGACAGCAGTGTCTTGTTTGTACCCCAACAGTAAAGCAGCACAGATTAAAAATAACCAGACAAATAAATAATACCATTGTCAACCCAGTGAGATACATGTTCAGGGAATGAGAGACATGGCTTGAAATCAGGAGCTGCTGTGTTGATGAATCAAGCTCTAGGTTGTCTCTTTTCTCTCTCCTTACTGCAGAGTTTCTGACTTCCTGTGGCTTTTCCTTGGCTTGGCCTCTTCTCTTAGAGGAAGAAATCACCAAGCTGTGCAATACTTGATTGTAGATTTTTGGGTTTTCTAAAAAGTGTTTGGTTACCCAGTTTGTGCATTTTACAAGAGGGGGAGTCATGTGTGTGGCTGGCAGCTTGTAGATCTCCTGCACTTAAAGTCTCAGGGTTGAATTTGCTTCTCCTGTGCAGCAGGAGAGTGTCTCAGGAGATCTGAGTGGCACAGTGTGGATTTTGTGGCAATTGCAGGATTCCAAGGCCTGCCATATCTGCTGGTGACATTGAGCATAACCATTTTTACTGGCAGCTGTCGAGATCAGTTCTGTTCTCTCCTTTGTTTTATTGCTTTTTTGTATTTTTAGTTGTTCCAGTGCCTTTAGCTTGCAGCTCCGTAGGAGACAAACAGAACTTATTTTTCAAAGGCGGGGGGGGGGGGGGGAAATAAGCTAAAAAAGTGGGCCAGAAGGAAAGGAAGGGGGCTCCAAAAGGCTGTAGAATTGTGCAGAGTAAGTCCTGTGCTGCATGCTGTTTTCAATCTGCTGTGTGCCAGTTGGAGGCTGGGAGAGAGCGCGAGGGAAGGAGAGAGGATAATGCTGAGAAATGATAGAGTGGCTGTGACCTCCCAGCTCAGCCTGGAAATCCCAGACATTGATTTCACTTAGCATTCCTGCTGAGAGAGCCGGGAGTTCAGCTGGGATAAAAGAACAAGGCTCTGTTCTAATGGTAATGGTGTGTGACAGACACATCCCTCTGTCTGTCCTCAGCAGCAGCGAGGTGGGAGCTGCACTCAGGGCACCTGACCTGCCTGGGCTGCTGGGCCAGTGCTGCTCTGAGCTCTGAACCCAGCCTGGGAGCACAGTTATTTATCATACTAAACGGTAAAGAAACCTTTCTGGAGCCCACAGCAATTAGAATAAGGCTTACACAATAGTGCAGCGGCCTGGCTCAGAAAACACATTGACAAATCCATCACAATGGCAGAAACTGAGGCTTATGTATTGGAGCTAAACACCTTCCTTGGTGTCTGTGTGGACCTTTCTTTGCTTTTTCAAAGCTTTTTTGTGTTCAACAGCTCCAAAAGTTTATTTTCTTTGCTGATTTTTTATATGTATTTTTTTTCTAACTGTCGTCAGCGAAATATGTCCTGAGTTTCATAGACTTTTTTTGATTTATTTTTTTTAAATTCCCATAAGCTATTTGGTTCCTGAAGTTAGTTTGTGGTGATCTTTCTCACTCGTACTGTACATCAGAGGAATAGTTAATGCCTTAGAATAGCTTTCAGTAGATGCTGTTTACTGAATCTCTGTTTTCAGCCCACAGTTTACACTGGCACAGCTTTGGTAATACCCTCGAGTGTTTGGAGACAAGGAGACAGCCTCACCTGAGAGTGTGTCAAGCTACTGGCAAACATCTAGGTCACTTCTGAAAAGCTGTGGCATTTTCTCCTCTCGTGTAGTGTTAAAGTTAGTGTGCTGCTCTTTGCAAGGATTCTTCAAAGTCAGCCTCAGCAGCAGATGGAACAACTGTTGGCTCTAGAAATGCTGAGAAGCATCAGGGGGAGTTTGCCAAGGATCATCCTTTAAATCTAGTAAGACTCGAAAACATCCCTGAAACTCCTCTAAGACCTTGGCAACTCCTGTTCTGGCAGGGCTTTTATCAGTGGCCCCAGCAGTGTTTGAGCACAGGCTAGCCCTGCTCTCCTTGCAGCAGCTGTGACCTGGAGAGCCCCGTCCCTCTCCAGGCTCTGCCTTTCGGGGAGCCACGAGAGGGGCTGCCATTCTGCGTGCTGCACACATTCTGGCAGCCTTGGTGAGGAGCCCGAGCTGGGGCTGTGCACTCTTCCAAGGAGGAGAGCCTGCCAGCAGAGCTGAGGGAAGGAGCAGAGCTGTGGAGGCCGTCCAAGGAGAGGCGCGCGCGTCTTGCGGAAATGGGTTTCAGCACAGCTTCTTCTGGAGCGCTCAGAGACAGCCGGTGTGCTGATCACACCATCCACATCCCAGCCTCCTCCTCCTCCTCGTGCCCTGAAAGGCAGGTAGCTCTGGGCTTTGCCACACTGGCCTGGATTTCCAAAGCCTGCCCGTGATGGTGCCGGTGCCCCCGTGCTGCCCTGCTCCCAGGTGGGGAGGGCAGGCAGAGGTGCAGCTAAGGACCAGGCAGAACAACTTCCCAGCCCCTCCCAGGGGTCATTTCAAGCCTCTTGCTTGTACAGGGCCAAGCACAAGATAAAATAGAGCAGTGTTGTAGGCACTGTGTTTGTCTGAGCTGTGACCTGTGCCGTGCCACCAGGGCTCCCACCTGATAGCTCCAGCCCTCAGTGCCCTCAGATCAGGTGCTTTATACCTGCACAAGGACAGCAGCTCCACCTCTCAGTGCCTGCAGATCAGGTGTTCATACCTGCCTGAGCACAGCAGCTTCACCCCCACCTGTAAATGGTCAGGGCCCTGTTCATTCCTGCCTTTGTGTCTGGCTTTTTATGTGGCATGGATAAATACAGCATCTAGCGCCTGCACACTGCAATATTCTGGCCCTTTCCATGGAGCCTTTCAAGTGCAGTAGTTCTGGAGTGAGGTGTCAGTGCAGCTTGTAAATGCAGCTAAACATTCCCCCTGTTTAGTGGAGCACAGTGTATTGTCTGTAGCATCTGCTGTAAAACAGCAGCAGTTCAGTGTGAAATGTGACAGGAGAGAATTCCTGGGCACTTTTCTTTTAACCTCGCTGTGGCCTCAGCCCTAACCCTACTCCCACTTGTGTCTCCATCAATGACAAGAGCACACAGATTGTCCAAATCAATTTTTTGTTCTATTCTATATATTCTGGCAGTGATGCTCTGCAGTAGCACCTGGGAGTTGTGACAAGGAAGGGAAATGTGTTTCAGACAAGGCAGGAGCAGCACTGAGCAGCTGGATACACACAGTCAGATTCTCCTCAGCTGCAATATTCAGAGAAATATCGATCTGAGTCTTTAACTGAAGAGGGTGCTTTAGTTTCACATTATCTGATCACATTATCTGATCACCAAAGTGAACACTTTGGATGGAATTTCCTTTGTGTCGCCTATGGGCAGCAATTCAATGACCTTTGAAAGTTCTGGTGCTTGTGCAGATGGGCCTGGAGGTGGCCCAGAAGGTTCTGGTTCTCTCCAGAAGAACTCCTTCTGTGGGGAGCTGGTTGTGGATTTTCCTGTCCCAGCCATAACTGATGATGAGACTACCTAGTTTTGGTAGGAAAGATTTTTTAATGAAAATATAGTGGAAAAAAAGAAAAGGAAATTCCTTTTCCTTATTTTCTTATCTGAAGGAAATAAGAAAACAGGCCCTAAAACAGTAAAATCTGTATCATCTCCATGATATTTCTGATTCTACTCCAGGCAAATTTTTTACTTGAACTTCATTTTCAATGGCCACCCTAAGCAACCCTGTTAAGTTGGGTGCATTTGTCACCCTTCCTCTCATCTCTCCCTTTCATATGATGGTGCAGAATGTGGAATTTTATCCTGGAGAGATCTTGGGCAAACATTAGTCCCCATTATGTGCATCACTCACTTGCCACATGACTGAGTGTGGAGGAGCCTGGTGAAAAGTGGACATACAGACTCCTTGTGCCCTCAGAGCTGCTATTTTTGAACATGCTAATGGAAAGCATCTAATTTAAATTGATAAAATGCCTGTGTACAGGTGATTGTGTTGGAGGGGGACAAATTCTTATCCCTGAAGAGCAGAGAAGAGGAACCTGTCTGGAAGTAACCCACAGCACAATTAGGCCCCGTGTACTGATGGCAGTCCTTGTCCTGTTCAGTGGCTGGAGAGCTCAGAGCTGCTGAATGCCTGAATGCCAAGCAACAGGAAATTCAGGCATCCTCATTTTCAGTAGAGTACTGAGGTATTTTAGAACGAAGGACAGCAGTTCTCACTGAAGTGATGCAAGACACAGCATCCCTGATAAAAGACTGGGCTATATTTACACAACTTTTATCTCCAGCATTTGCAAGCTCTTCTATTTTTGAGAGTTTCCAGGCTGGACACAATTCTTCATATGCCGCTGATTTAAAAAAATAAATCCTTGCTAAATTAATCTATTAATCTTTTCAGCACCGGAATAACAATTAGCACTAGAATATTATACATCAGTACATCCAAAACATTTCCAGTGATTGCATTTCCCAATCCCCTTGCCAGAGCATCAAACAGGTCAGAAATAGCTGTAAGATAATCAAGGGAAAGTTTACAGTGCAGAGGCAGTGATGAGCAGGGAGCTGTAAGCTCATCTGTGCTGTGCTCTTTTCTTCAGGCTCCCTGCCCATCTTGTAGTTAATAATCTCTTTACCTGGGAGCCTCTCTCCTTTGCTGCCCATGCTTTTGATCCTAAATAGTAAAATGGGGAGCTGGTGACAGAATCTTTGAAGTTGTTTTCCTCTTCCTTGCTCTCCTGCCTGTATCTGACATGCAGGCATATAAACAATGACTTTTTAAACCATTTGCTGGAGCACAGGGAAATGATGAGTATTAATGGAACTTCTTAAGGTGCTTTTCTAAAATTGCAAATGGGCTCCAA